TATTTTTGACAAGCTATCTAATGTGTTAGCCATTATCACATGTTACTTGATTGTGTTATAGATAATCTTGCTTGGGACGAGCAAGAGTTTAAGTTTGGAGGTATTTGATAAGTGTGTTTTTGCTCATTTATTTAATACTTAAATATACTTATTATTGATAAAAAGGAGCGAATTTCTCTCACAATTATGTAATTATTGCTTTTGTAGGTAAAAATCATCCAAATGAAAGAAAACAAAACAAAATGAGGAAAAAATGACCAAAAGTGTACAACAATTGTGAAGTTGGGGACCAAGTTGCACAAGTATCGAAAGTTGGAGGACATTGGAATGCAATTTATGGAGGGCAATATTGAAATGAAAATGAAAATCCGATGACCAAATTGTATAACATCATAGTTGAGGGACTAACTATACAAGTTATCCTAAGGACCTCCTTTGCAATTTGTGATTTCACCAAAAGTGCGCACCCGCGCGCTTTACTTCTGGAATGGTGATCACTGCGTACTTTAAGTGCGCACCCGTCCACCTGTGCGTTGAAAATTGTCGAAAATCAGAAATTTTGAGGGCATTTTGGACTTTCGTTTGTGCTCTGTTTTGGGAGTATTTAAAGACCAAATCTCATGACTCAAACCTTAGAGTTTTTAGAATTTTTCTCTCTTGCTGGTTTTCCCTTTTTATTTTCTTTTATTTCTCTTCTTTCTTTTTTCTTTCATTTTCTCTTCTCTTCTTTTTCTTTTCATTTTTGCTTGGTATTTTGGAGATTAAATCAAAAAGCACAATGAGTTTTTACTAAGGATTTGACAAAGATTTGAGAGAAAATCAATTTCAAGCTTCAAATAGAGTTTTATCTATACATTTGATTTTTCTCATTTATTTTGCCATTTTTGTAATGAATGTTATGCATATACGCCTTTGTTATTAAATGTATAAAATGGGCTAATTAATTATGTTGAGATTTGTGAAATTAGTTTTACTAAGTCTTGATTAATTTTTATATTTGTTATTTGATATTAAGTTGCTTATTCTCATGTGTTTTTATTATTGTATTTCATGTATTTTCATTTACGTGGCTAATGAATGAATGTGTTTAGTGATTTGTGCATCATTCGAGAGAAGATCGTATATTTTAGACCAAATAGTAAAAACCCTATGTTTGTGTAATGGATAGAGATATACCATTAGCCATAGGTGACCTAATGAGTTATTTTCACAATGATTGAATGCGATTGTTTGGTTGTAATCAACATAAAGATATAGTAAGTTAAACCAATCAATTAGAGTTAATTTCACTCGAGAGAGGTAATTAACTAAAATTGAAAGATCGGGTCTAACATCGAAATTAAGTAATTAGTTAATTGACTTATAGAGAAATTAATTAGGCGGTGGTTAAACGAAACCACGAATTCCAATCACGTTCTTCCTCCGAAATTTCCAAATATTTATGTTTTTCTTATTTTGTAGATTTTTAGTTTATTTACCGCTTTTCAAATCTCATGTTTAATTGTGTTTGTTTCATTTGATTGTTAGAATTAAATTGATTAAAGTTGTGTAATCTAAAGTAACATTCCTCGAGGGATCGACAACCCGGACTAAAAAAATCAATTTTATTACTTGAACGCGACCCGTGCACTTACGACATATTTTCAAGCGATCGGTCACAACTTAGAGACAATCACAAATTGTCAAATTGTCAATCACAATTGACAATTTTTTAGGCCACACATTATTTTTTTGTCACAATTTATCTTTTTCATTGGTCACATATTGTTTATTGGTCACAGATTAACCAATTTAATTATCACAAACGACCAAATAATCTGTAATCACTACCAACTTGTGACCACCACTCCCTCCAACAGCACCACTACCGCTGTTACCGCCAGAAC